GTTACGGACAACGCTGCTCCGTTTACACTTGAATCCTGCTGCGTGTGTGCAGTGGTTCCCCTTACAGTTTTGCTTTCCTTGGTTTCGGTTACCCACAGTCAGCCACGGTGTGAAAATATTAAATGGAGCAGTCCAAAAAGAAACAATTTTTAAGTTTTAAATTGCACAGTGTTCTGAGTAGTGTGGTGAAATCTCATACCGTCCCTCTCCATTCCGTTCCAGCCAATCGCTCTGTAGACGCTTCCAGCCCGTTGACCGCTTGGTGGCCATTTTGGTTATCAGATCAGTTGTGCTATCACAGTGCTTGTGTTCAAGTGACCCTGGTTTTTCTTAATAGTGGCCCCACAGCCAAAGAGTAGTGGTGCTGGCAATTTGGATATATCAAGAGGAGATGTAAGGTGCTTCCTTTCTGTGAAAAGGTATGAGTACTGCACAGTAAGACACTTTGAGAGAGAAAGAGACCACAGCCATATAATTTTTATTATAACAAATATGTTGTTACAATTGCTCAGTTTTATTAGTCATTGTTCATCTTCTACTGCGTCTAATTTATAAATTAAAATTCGTCATAGGTATGCATATTAGGACAAAACAGCATATAGAGAGTCTGATACCACCTGCAGTTTTAGGCATCCCCTGGGGGTCTTGGAATGGTCAGGTGGGGACAACCACATTTACACAGGAACGAACTACTGACTTTTTAAGCACCTTTGCCTTTACTGTAATGGCAACCTGTATTCCAGAGTGGTTCTGATTTTCCTTTTCCTCCAGAGGCAGCAATATGTATGAGGGACTGTATTTCTAGGATTCCACTCTTGACACTGTTATCTTTCTAATTTTTTGCCTTCTGGTGAGTATCACATTGTAACCCAGTGTGTATTTTCTTGATTACTATTGTGATGGACCATCTTTCCATATGTTTGTACATTTGGATTGACCCTCTTTTTTTTGTGCTTCTTAAGTCTTTTTGTCCTTTTTTTTTTTATTTTAAATCCTCACCCAAGAATATGTTTACTGATGGAGTGAGAGAGAGAAAACTGGCGGGAGAGGGGAGAAATACTGATGCGAGAAAGAAACATTGGTTGGTTGCCTTCCATTCATGCCCCAACTGGGGATTGAACCCACAACCCAGGCATGTGCCCTGACCAGGAATCGAATCCACGGCCTTCTGGTGCACAGGAAAATGCTCCAACCAACTGAGCAGCCCAGCCAGGACTGTCCTTTATTTAAACTGGTTTGTCTCTGATTGTTTTTATCTTCATTTATAGTTCTTTATTCTGGATATAAAGGGGTTTTTCCCTTCATTGTGGATTATGTGTTGCAAATATCTTCTTATTCTTCTGTGGCTTTCTTTCTACTCAGTGGTGTTTTGTGATGAAAAGTTTATAATTTTAATATATATACATTTGTTAAACTTCCCACTGCAGTTACTGCTTTCTATGTTTTATTCAAATATCCTGAGATAGAAATACTTTCCTACAGTGTCTTTATTGTTTTGCCTTTCACATTTAAGTTTATAATCACCCAGATTGATTTTTGTGTACACTATGAAGCAGAGGAACACAAATTCTGTTTTACTTTTCTTTTTCATCATCATACCCAATTGTTCTGGAGCCATTAATTGGGGAGAAAGGACTGTGTTTGCCCCAGTAGGTCTGCAGTGTCACCATTGTCAAAAATCAAGAGTTCATGTGCCAGTGGGTCTGTTTCTGGACCATTCTCCTCCACCAGTTTATTTGTCTGTTCTGTCCCTCACGACCTGTGTGAATTACTACAGTTTTATAATGAGTTTGGATATCAGGTAAGCAAGTCCTCACATCTTGGTTTTCTTCTTTATGTCTTGGCTATTCTTAGCCCTTTGCATTTTCATATAAATTTTAGGAGTTTGTCAAATTCCACAGAATATCCCAGTGGGAATTTTATTGGGAATGCATTGAATCTGTAGACCATTTAGGGGAGAATTGACATCTTCAGAACAAGGAGTTTTCTTTAGGTCCTTTTTCATCTCTGTCAACAGTGTTTATAATTTTCTTGGTAGATGTCTTACATCTTACACCCATTTTGTTAGACTTATTGCTTGGTGTTTGGTGAGGTTATTGTCAGTTACATCTTTTTTTATGTTGGTTTCTCATTTGGTTGGCATGTATAGTAATGCATGGGGTTAAACTTTTCAGTTCTTGTTAACCTTTCTGGAAATATCTTGAATTTGCCCTCATAGTTGATAGGTAGTTTCACTGAAATAGCATCAAGTTTGAGGTTATTGCTCCATTTTCTTCCATGCAGCCAGTGTTGCTAATGCAAAGTGTTGCCAGTCTGATTCAATTCCATTGTACGTATCCAGTTTTCCCTGGAAGCCTTTAGGTTCTTCTCTTTATTTTTTGGTGTTCATAAAGACTGTGAATCTTTTTTCATTTAGTGTGCTTAGTGTTTGGTGAGAATGTTCCCTCATACTCCACACATACCTTTCATATGTGAGGCATGTCTTCTTTTTTTATGTTTGTTCTCTTTGTCCTTTATATATATTTTAAAGATTTTACTTATTTACTTTTAGAGAGGGGAAGGGAGGGAGAGAGAAAGAGAAACATCAATGTGTGGTTGCCTCTCATGTGCCCCCACACTGGGTGCCTGGCTTGCAACCCAGGCATGTGCCCTGATTGGGAATCGAACCAGGAACCCTTTGGTTTGCAGGTCATTGCTCAGTCCATTGGACCACACCAGCCAAGTCCTTTATAATTTTAAAAAAATACTTATTTTTTTGTACAGAGGAGAAGGGAAGGAGAAAGAGGGATAAAAACACTAGTGTGAGAGAGAAACATGGACTGGTTGCCTCGTGTGAGCACCACTGGCGGGGATGGAATCTGCAGCCCAGGTGTGTGTCTGACCTGGGGATCAAACTGGTGACCTTTAGCTTTGCAGGCTGCTGCCCAACCAACTGAGTCACAGCAGTCAGGGCGTCTTTTATATTCTAAGACATTTCCTCTTTATCTTTATTTCATAAATCATAATTTAACCTTTCAAGAGTTATTTCTTGTTCTTTGTTTTGTTGCTGCGTTCTAGCATTATTTTGGGGGTATACTACTATTTAAATATTTTTGTGTATTTACTTTTAATTCTTAAGTTATTTTTTCCCCTTGGATCATATTTGCTTCTTCTGGATCAGTTTTTCCCATTTCCTGCCTTTTTGTTTTATACTCTAGATCGGGAGTCAGTAAACATTTTCTGTAAAGGACAAAACAGCAGAAAAAAGTTTTTGTAATACAGGTTTACTAATGAGAAGAATGGGATTCTTTTTGGGATAATAAATTGTTTAATTGGAGTTTGGAGTTAGTACTCCTATCAAAATTGATGGCAAAAAAAAATGAAAAACATTGATGGCAAAGATTTTTCTATTAGTATCAATCTGTAATTAGATTCTGTACACTTCCATCTTTGAAGACGTCTTTTACTGCAGACAGGTACTGCCTGCCAGTCCACAGCATGATTTTTATTGTGCATATTTATCTCTTAGAAGGCATTTGTAGAACTTTATTAGACTCTTCTCTTGAAGTTTGCCTTTTAGCATGTCATTACATTGCAGAGTAATCACTTCTGTTTTGAAGGTTAGGTGATAATTTCTCACAGAGTTAAATGGATCTTGAAGTGACATTTTTCTTTGCATTTGTATTAAAGTCACTGCTGTTTGAGCCTGGAAACCATACCAGCTGCAAATTTGGGTGGGAATGGATATCTCACTCTTTGTTTTATCTTTGGACAGCCCGGTGGTACTGAGCAGTATCAGTAACATCTCTCAGCTCTTTGAGAGCCAAGGAAAAGCACTTGATAGCATTTGTCTTTTTTTAATTGTCAAAATTTCTCCCAATTTCCTCATGTCCTTGAGCAACTGTTATTGCCAAAAGGCCAGTTGTCTTAAGTAACTTTATTTTCTCTGGCCACTTTTTCAATTGCTGCAATCAAACAAGATTTCATTAACTTGCCTTTAGCTGTCTTTGGTGGCCAGCAAGCAGCCCATTCAGAACCTTGCTTTGATTTCAGTCTCATTTTCATTTTTTATTTTTGTGAAGAAATAATTCTGTGATTATTTTGTTTTACTTTTTTGAATTTTTCTAACTATTGAGTTGGGACCATTGTGATGAATGCTTAGTATTGCAACATTGAACTATATTATGTTCTTTAAGCACTAAAGAATTATTACATAATCACCATAATGTTTTGTCATCTAATTGGACAACAAAGTAATCCATACTTCACTGCACCTTAAATATTGGGTTGGCTAAAAATTTTTTTTTCCATACGATGGCTCTTAGTAGTGCTTACTTGTTTTTAACTTCATTTGAAATAGTTTTGTTACATTATATTTTAACAGCTGTCATATTGGGCATATATTTAAAAAAAACAAAACAAAACACCTCATTAAAGCCCTGGCAGATGTAGCTCATTGGATGGAGTGTGGGCCTGCAAACCAAAGGGTCACTGGTTCAATTCCCAGTCAGGGAACATGCCTGGGTTGTGGGCCAGGTCTCCAGTAGGAGGTGTGCAAGAGGCAACCACACATTGATGTTTCTTTCCTTCTCTTTCTCCTTCCCTTCCCCTCTCTCTAAAAATAAATAAATAAAATCTTTAAAAAATAAAAAACTCATTAAAATTGATGAATAGTTGTACAGCCATTTTAATATTGAAGGAAGAAAATACACATTTTCAGCACATTATGTATGCTTTATTATTTTAAGAAGGGTAAAAACTCAACTGAAACACAAAGTATATGAAGAAGGTACTGTGACTGATCAAACGTATCAAAAATGGTTTGCAAAATTTCTTGGTATTATTGACATTTTGGCCAAATAATTCTTTGCTGTGGGGCTGTCTTATACATTGGAAGATGTTTAGCACCGCCCCAGCCTCTACTCACTACAAGCTAATAGCGGGAGATAGTCAACATACTCAAAATACCCAAATCAATAAAATTACTGATGAAAATGAAAAATGTGTCTTTTATTTTACAGAAAAAACTAAATGGACTTTTTGGCCAACCCAATACATGGCATTCGAAGTTCACTTTTCATGTTTTGACATGGTGGGTATGCACTGGAAATGAAAAAAATGTCAGGGCTTGGCAAAATGCTGTCACATTCTAACCGTCACTGAAATTTATAGTGCACTGAAGTGCTCCCAAATGCCAGAACGTGGAGAACTTGCTCCGAGGTCTTACTACCCACATAAGGAGACTTGGCTTTTCTCAAGCATTTTATTCAATTTCTGTAGAGGACAGTCTTCTCTTTCTGCCTATGGTAAACACCCCACTCCCCCTCTCTCTAAGGGTAAACTTCTCTTTGATTATGTTCTGGTGAGGGCTGGGCAGAGAGAACTTGTTATAATAGCTTTGTCTGTTTTAATGTAGAGTTTTAATTCGTCCTCAGTTATAGCCTCATTTCTCACATTCAACCTAAGCCCAGCCTCCACCTTAGAGCTTGCTTTTGTTTATCAAAAATCTGCCAAGAACTTGTTGAATTCCTCTCAGTTACTGGTGAGTGTACTTTATGTCCTCTCCACCCCCCCACCCTACCATGGAACTATGAATTTTTACATTTCTGTACTTTATTTTTGTGGAATGTCAGGAAGCTATACTGGTTCAATAAATTGTCCTGAATGAAAAGCATGAAAGTCTTTTACTTAAAACTACTTTATTTAAACTTCTTTACAAAAGGAGGAAAAGTTATAGTATGTTTGTATGCTGTCTAAGTTATATAGAAAACAGCAGATGTCAAAGTAGTGAGTTTATACTAGTTGGCATGAAGAAAAATATTTAAGCAGCATTTGTACTTGGTGTATTTTGGTGCCCTCTGAAGAGAATCATATCAGCTGGTAATACTCATCTCTAACATGTAGTAAAACAACATAGCTGATGATTGTCCTGGTTTTATTTATGGTGCTAAGTCATTTCATCTCTTTCTTTAATGCAAATAGATCAGACATATTATTACTTGTAATTAAAGAGGTCTGCTTCAGTAGCTTAGGCTGGCGTGTTTTATGCAAGGGGGACCCTTTGTCACTCACTTGGATTGTTGTAATATTTTGATTCAGATACTCAATGTAATCTTGTCTCTGTGTGCTTGACTAAGCTGAGCTTCATGGGAACTTTGGCTATTGAATGATTTTTTTTGGTTCTTTTGTGCCCACTAAATAAAATTAGCATAAAATCAAGGTAAACACAACAGTCATCACAGGAGTCAACCAGCTCTTTCATACAGGAGCAGATAGTGCATCTTTCCAACTTCATGAGCCACGTTGTCTCTGCCACAACTAAGCAGCCATAGATATAGGTGGGGAGTGACTGGGTGTGACTGTGTCCTGGCAAAACCTCATTTGCAAAAGCAGGAGGCCAGGCCAGTGTTTGCCAGCTCCTGACCAGAAGTTTTGTTTATAAGTTTTTTTATGGTATTAGTTGGCGGGGAAAAAGTGCTCTTTCTTGAGGATGTAGAGATGAAGAACTTGGTGGCCAGAAAACTGCTGGATTGATTGGTAGTCTAGGAAACTTTCTCAGTTTGTTTGCATTCTTCAAGCAGGAGCACATTCACTTTTCGAGGCCTACAGTCAGTAAACCTTTAAATCGGACCACCCAATATGGATTAGAATAGTGATTCTTCTGTTGTTTCTTGTTTGAGTTCTTTGCCTCTGTCAGTTATGAGAAGGTGGGTAAGAGACCAGGCCTGGAAGTGTTCTCTGGAGCAGGGTCATCGGCCAGTTCAACAATACAGGTGTCATCTCTACCTGACATCAGAATAGGGTACCCTAAAAAAAGAAGAATAAAAGGAGCCCTTTACACTTGGGTTTTTTAAATAAACTTTAATTGAAATATATTATACATATTGATTATAATTATTGAGCTGTTCACACCTGTGCAACCACTACTTGGCAATTTTTATACTCAAAGTGGCTCAAGCTGTCGGCTGTGATCACCCCAGGCCCTCCAGGGTCAGCTGCCAGCCCAGGGCTTCTGCTACAGTCGGTACCTCTGTTTGCAGCTGTCATCTCGGAACAGCTCCGTCAGCAGTCAGAAAAGGGTTTCTGAGAGTAAAGTTAACCTGTGTAGAGAATCGGGCAGCTCTTTCTTCCTTGTTGTTATGGCTGCCATCTCTTCTGCAAACAGTGCTATGAACTGTGGGGGAAAGAATAGGCTTTGGTAGCTATGATATATCTTTGTGTAGTGGGTTTTTAATTGTACCATTACCATTTACTTTTATGGAATCATGAGTTACTGAATTAAACCATTTAAAAGGAGAGTCAATGCAAATGGAGAAATGTGAACTATAATACTGTAATTTCTTTATACCAAATAATTAAGATTTGGGGGTTTACTCTTAATTCAGCAGAGTACATAGAGTGTACAAATTCAGAATCTTCCCTCAGATTATCTTTAAGGATGACTGTCGTGCCAGATATTTTTTTTTTTTTTTAATTCTGGGAAATTTCAAATGCAAAGGGTGGAAAGAGTAATGTACAAACCTTCTATACCTGTCACCCAACTTCAGCAGCGATTAGTGTATGGCCAGCCTTTGTTTCTTCTTTATAACCACATTATTTTGAGTCATGCTAGGTTTTTTAAATTGAAATTTTAATTTTTACTTAGTTTCGGCACTTTGGAAACCCTATAACATCACCGAAGAATTTGCAACGTAGAAAATCAAGAAGCAAGGACTATGATGTATACAGTGATAATGATATCTGCAATCAGGAATCAGAAGATAATTTTGCCAAAGAGCTTCAACAGTATATAAAAGCCAAAGAAATGGCAAATGCTGCTCAATCCTTACCATCTCCTGAAGAATCTGTGAAGAAAGAGGAAGCCAAGGGTACACAGAAAGGTAAAGGTCAAACTATTTTATCATTTAAGTAGCTATCCCCAACCCTGATGACACCAGGGACAGGTTACCTGGAAGACAGTTTTTCAAGGCGGACAGGGCATTGGTGGGCAACCTACGACTTCAAGTCTTATCTAGAGGAGCAGTCACAGTTGTCCATGAATTGGGCATTTTCTCAGATCATAGCTTTTATGGATCTTTCCACCAAATGTGAGCTTACGTGGCCGGAGACCACCCCCCACTAAGACCTGGCCACACAGTGTACGTTGCTCAGTTTGCAGGAGGAGCTGAGTTCAGGAGGAGGGTTATCAAAGGCCATGAGTACCTTGAAAGGGAGAACGCTAAACCCCGGATCCTGCATGTGTAAAGGGTGAACACGCCTGTTTATACTGCTGTCATCTGAAGACGAATTGACTTAATGTCAGGAATCGTAGTGGTCAGACTAAACTCAGACATACATTCTTTTAGATTACTAAACTGTAATTTAGCCATAGACAATGAGGATAAATGAGAATTATAAATGAAATTCTTTTTCTAAGGCTTGTATTTGTGTTTTTTCTAATTTTTTAAAATTTTTTCATTTACAGTTGGCATATAGTACTATCTTAGTTTCAGCGACTAGACACCATACATAGTTACCACAATATCATTGTATAAATGAAATTCTTAATTCTCATTTTACCGATTCCCCCCTTTAAATGTTTTTTCTGTGTAAGATGGTTCATAGATAAATTTAGTCTATTATGAAGTGTTTTCAGTGAAAAATGCATTAGTAATACATGCAGTTTTACTGTTAAGAGTGCTGTGGAGTTCCTAATTAGATCCAAAATACTCGGAATACACTTCAGAAGGATCTGGCTGGTGGCTAGTAAGACTGATTTCAGTCATTATCTTGTTTTTTTTTTCCAGACAATACTGTATATATTTTCACAGAGAATGCATTACGATACAGAATATATTGATTCTCTCTTTGATCTTTTAATCCCTCAGTTTCTAGGAAGACAGAGCAGCATGATGCCCATTTCATTCATTGAGCAGAACTTCTGGATTATTATAGAGTGTACTTTTAAAGAATAAACTGCTACTGTACTTTTATGTCATCATTAAAATTAACTTTTTGTTTTTAGCTGTTAAACAAAAAAAGAAAAACCTTAAAGCTGCCCACAAGAATGGTAAACAGAAGAAAATGAAGCGGAAATGGCCTGGCACTGCAGACAAGGGGTCCAGTGCATCACTGAGCAACAGTGGCTCGCAGGAACAGGTACAGGGACCATTCTGTCTTATCTTCAGTGGCAAGCCACAAAGTGAGGGTTATCAGTAGTGAAACCTCCAACCCGAGTGGCTTCCACGTTCTCCCTCATGCAGGAGCCATCAGCACCCACGTACAGCCTTTGTGTTGCACCAGATGTCCCGAATACATGCACACGAGCCCCTTGATCTTTGAGTGTAGTGCTGTCAGTGTCCATGGGAAAACAGATGGAGTAGCAGGGAGGAGATACAATAATCATAGGCTCATGTGAAAGGCCACAGAGCGTTACAAAGATTCTCCTGTTGTAATCCATGGTCTATTGGTTCTTGACTCCCTCTGGAAATTAAAAATGAATGTATCTGAACATTGGCCTTACCAACCACCCCCTACCATCCTTGTAGTTTGATTTTGCTTGTAGAAGTTCCTCTTCCTTGGTCTGTGTATGTAATCAGTGTGGGACAGTAAGTGATTCCTCTGCCTTTCTAAGGGCTTCTAAAATGTGTGGCAACTGTTTGTATTACGTTTGGCTGTAGGGACAAGTGGTAAAATACTAGAAATACCAAATATTATAGATTGAAACATATCGATGTAAAATCTTGTTCTGCCCCCTGTATTTTACAGATGAGAAATCTGAGGCCCCAGGGTTCAAGTGACTACCTGTGGTCACACAGGGCCTGGCCAGTGATGGGACTTTGTGTCTTCACCCCCATCAGTATTTCCTTTCATTTGGTTTACATTGATTTAAAAGGTTATTTGGGCAAAGCTGATAGCTCTTCTACATGAGGAACAAATTATAAACATACATGTCACAATTTAATAACATAACCAAATGAAACTAACTCTAAACATATTTATAAGACATATTTGGTAGTGCTAAGTGGAAATTTGACATTATTGCAAAGCTGACATATAAATGTACAGCCAGCATCCTTTGCACACACTATATTTCTCAAACTATTAAAAAGTTTGGTGTGCAGAAGCTAGAAGTTGTATGACAAATCAACACGCTAACGGTGGTTTATGCTTCTGAAGAGCTAAAAGGTACTCTGAAAACCCCCTTTGTTTTTTATATCTTTGTCACCATCTTGGAGGGTATAGTTGTAGTTATGTTTATTCGATCTGATTAGTATACTCAGCTCACACACAGAGAGCATCTCATTGAAATGAAACGTTCCACTGCTTTCAGTTCACCTTAACGATTTCCAGGTTGGTCTCAATTGATCTAAAGAGCCTTGGTCTTGCGCTTCACTTTTTATCACAAGTAGTAACACTTATATTTTTTAAGTATTTTTGATTCATTTAAAAAGTAAGAGCATGCCCTGGCTGGTGTGGCTCAGTGGACTGAGTGCCAAACTGTGATTCAAAGGGTCACCAGTTCGATTCCCAGTTGAGGTGCATGCCTGGGTTGTGGGCCAGGTCCCCAATATGCGGCGTGCAGGTGGCAACCGCACATTGATGTTTCTCTCCCTCTCTGTCTCCCTCCCTTCCCTTCTCCAAAAATAAATAAATAACATCTTTTTTAAAAAAGTAAGGGCAAAGTACAATAAAATATTCAGATTGTATAAATACTAATGTCCAATGATGGAATGCTGTTAAAACTTACAAAGCATTAATTGTTCAACTGGTATACAGAAGCCTAAATCTGTGCATCAAGGTAAATTTAGAAGAGTCGCCTCTTAATGTTTTATAGGTGGTTTAAAATAATTTTGTGCAGTGGAATAAAGTTTTCTGTTTCTCACATTTGTTTTTTTGTTTTTGTTTCCAAAGGATGTTAAACCTAAAGAGAAGCAGCACGTGCGAATGAGTCAGGGGTTTATCAACCAGCACACAGTGGAACGCAAGGGGAAACAAGTCTGTAAATACTTCCTTGAAAGGAAATGTATTAAGGTATAAAAATGTGTAAGCAAAAATATACTAAAATGTAAGATGTAGCAAAAATGTACTAAAACCAACTCCTGTTTCTATTAAACACTCTAAAAGCATACCTGTTTCCTTCTGGAAAAGGTTCATGTGGAAAATTTTACTATCCTTTTATGTTTAAGAAAGATATTTTCATTAAATGTTTTATATTACATATTATTTAGGAGTTAAGATTTTAAGTAGATAAATGTGACATGGTCATAAGATAACTCATTAAGAATTAGACTGTATAGATTCTAAGACTTTGGTTTTTTTCCTGGAGTTATTTGTTTATCTGAAGTTTAGTAGGAACTATAATTGACTTAACTGTGAGAAATAATGGCTTTGCCTTGTTCCTTCTCTTGGCTCAGGGAGATGAGTGTAAATTTGATCATGATGCAGAAATAGAGAAGAAAAAGGAAATGTGTAAATTTTATGTACAAGGATATTGTACCAGAGGTGAAAACTGTCTGTATTTGCATAATATCCTTTATCACAAGATATAACTTTACTCTTCCTAAATACTTACATTGCCATTTTAAATATGTATGATTTTGAGTGAAACCAGTGTTTTAGCTATGGCAAAAGTATGTCATCTAAGCCCAAATCAGTAAGTATTGAAATGATTAAATTGTACACAGATTTTTTTCCCCCTATAAGAAAAGAGGGATTCCTTAGAAATTCTGTCAGAAACATAGCAGGTTTCATGAGACCTGTTCAGGTCCCAGAAAGACTTTGTCAGGGTTTTTGCACTGACGTTCACTCATTAAATCTATATTCTTGTAAGCTCCTCCATGAGAAGAGGCAGGAACTGCATAATTCGCTTGAATGCTTGCTTTCTGTGTTCTGTACTTGCAGGGGTGTCTGAACTTCTGGTAAGTAAATTTACAGTTTTATCTTGGGCCACATTCATAGCCATCCTAGGCCTCATGTAGCCCATGGGCCGCAGGTTGGACACCCCTGCAGGGGTTAGCTGTCCCTTCATTTGAAGAATAACTCTCACTGCAGCGCTCATTGTGCAGACACATTATAAAAGCATGGAACATGAACATTGTAGGATAATAGCAGCTTTAGTCACTTTTCATTCATTTAGTACAAGAAATCTCAAATTACAACTTGAGAATCTTTTCCTAGGAAACAATGTTACCATTGTATAAATTGATCCTATTACATAAGGATCCAGATTTGTTAAGACATATCATTGTCATTGATTTTAATTCCTCTACTCCAAAAGAATGTTTTAAAAATAATCACACTTCTCAAGGTATTTATATATATACATCTCTTTCTTATATCAGTGGAGCCTGTCTGTAGTCTATTACATGAATAGAGATGAAGCAGAAAGTGTCCTGTGATATCCAGTAAGTTGATTTATTTAATCATCCTGAAATTAGATTTTTCATTTAACCCCATTAGTAATTTATTGTCTTAAATGGGGAATTTTAAATGAGCAGTTCAATGTTTCTACTAGTCAGAAGGGCCTTTAGGAAGAATAAAGTCCTTAAATGAATAACAAGTTATTTTAGTTGAATTAAGATTGTTCTCTTCCTTAACATTGGGATACATGAATATCCTTGTAAGTTTTACCATACAGGAACAAAATGTTACCAGGGAGAGCACTGCAAGTTTTCACACGCGCCTCTGACTGCCGAAACGCAGGAACTTTTGGCTAAAGTAAGTACAATTTTAGTCTTTTTAAAGGAATCTGAACTAAAGGTGAGAATTTGAAAAGCTACTGTTCTTGAACTACTGTTCTTGAAGGAAAGTGCCTCATAGCTTAGCATGTGACATATAGGAAGACTAATAATGTAAGAATTTACTTCTGTTTAGAATGCTATTATTCATTTATACATTTTTCCTTGTAGCTTAAAGGAAAAGTTACATTCATTGCTGGTGTAAATTGGAATGTTCTTAAAACTTTCAGTGAAGTTACAAGTGTTACTAGCTCAGCTAAAAAAGGAAATAGCAAATATGAGAAAGGTATTGCTGTTACACTCTTGGAAGGAAAGCTAAGGATCATTGGTTAATAAACATTTTAGTGTTACATCACAGAATACTCCAGTTACTTCAAAATGTTATCTTCAGATATTCTTTTAGTCTATGAGAAAGGATATTTGAAAAATAATAGCCATTTATATTCCCTCATTTTCCATGTGTTATTTGGAGTAATTATCTCTAAAATTAACTTGAAATACAAGTGAAAATAAAAGATTCTTTTAAAGCTAAACCATATGAACTTATGGCAGTTTTTTTGAGCATATGCAAATGTTAGCAAGTCAGAGGTGCTTATTTCTGATATTTTTAGGTTGTAAAATCTGAAGGGATACTCTGGAATTAGAATTTGTACCAAATATGTCATTTGAAATATATGTAGTGTGAAATATATATGGAAAAATGACATAAAATTTGTTTTTCAGTTTCTCAGGCAGTGTGAGATGATTACTAGGATGAATGTTATTGGGATCATGAGAAAATTACAGGCAGAGGATGACATACATGATAATGAATAAAAATAATTGTGATTTTTTTTTATACTAGGTTTTGGATACTGAAAAGAAGTCATGAAAATAAAAAACATTTAAAAAGGTAAAATTAGGATTTAGCACATTTCTTTTTTTCTTAAACATCTCTGGAAGTTGAAATGGAAACAAGGCTTTTACTTTTTCTCCAAAAAAAAAAAAAAAAATCATTTTCTCTCTCCTCCCCTACTAAAAAAGTTTTAAAATATTTGGTACATAGGTGCAGATATACAGGGTCTGGCAGAATTAACACCTACTTGAGTGTGATTGGTAGGGTAGTAATATGGGCGTAATAATTTATAATTTCAGTTTGAACAATTGACATAAAATATATGTTGTGCTTGATTGTGATATTGTTATGTTACAGAATTACATGCTTATGATTTTGTAATGAAAAATTTTGTAATAAAACAGGGCCATTATTTGTGCTGGACCCTGGATATTGTGGGTCTCCATGGACCAGCTTCCTCCTTTGGGTTTGTCATTATATTTTATTTTCCTCCTCTGTTTCTTTGTAAATTTACTGAAGGTACATGATTGACTAAATAGTATATTTGGTTGTGCTTGCATTTGGATTTTTTTAAATAGTATCATACTCTATATTAATTGGTGATCTGCTGTTTTCACTGAACATTACCCAAGATTTTTTAAAAAAATTTCATTTATATATTTTTAGAGAGAGGGAAGAAGGGAGAAAGAGAGGGAGAGAAACATCAATGTGTGGTTGCCTCTCACGCGCCCACTACTGGGGACCTGGCCTGCAACCCAGGCATGTGCCCTGACTGGGAGTTGAACCTGTGACCCTTTGGTTCACAGGCCAACACTCAGTCCACCGAGCCACACCAGCCAGGGCTTATCCTTCTAAGATTTATGTAGATGCATGCAGCTGTTACTCATTCATTTTTACTCCTACATCTCATTTCAGTCATTGAATGTTATAGTTTATTTAGTTTTTCTACTATTGATGGACACTGAGGTTTTCTTCAGTTTTTTAAATACTACAAATAATCGTGTTCCTGTCTCCTGGTATAAATGTGTGTGAGTTATCATGGGTGCATACCAAGGAGTAGAATTGTTGTATTATCTTAATATTTAAGAATTTAAGAATACATATAATATTCTTAAATAAACATTTAAGAATATTTAGAATTGTTGTATCATCTTAATATTTAAGATGATACCAATCTTCTATAAAATAGTTGTACCCCAGCCAACTGTGTAAAAGAACTGTGGATCCACTTGCTGATCTTTGTTTTCTTCAGACTTTTTTTTTAAACCAGTTTAGTAGGTGTAAAAATGGTGTCTTGTGGCTTTATTTTCAGTAAGTTCAATTTCTTTCTTATTAGCTTCTGAGTTTCACCTGTGGTGAAGTGCCTGTTACTGTCTTTTGCTTATGTTTCTGTTGGCCTGATTGCCCTCTATGAATCGGTTTCCTCTGTTGCTGATACAATCCTTTGTGAGGTACACGTGGCAGGTATTCCACTTGGTGGGCTCTCTTTTCACTTTTTTTGAGGTGTCTCAATGAGCAGAGTTACTTACCTTGACAGTCTTTTTCTCAGTTTTACTTTTTTATGTTTATATTTTAATCCCTTGGAAATTATCAGTTAAAATTTGCCACAATAATGGTTTTTAACAAATAGCCACAAACACTCTGTACCATGTAAAAAAAAAATTTCTTCTTCATGCATCTGCGGATTGGCTGGGTTGGCTCTACACACAGCAGGTTGACTGGATGGTTCTGCCCCACATTGTCTTCCTCGGATCCGTGGGCTAGCTGGGCGTGTTCACTTCATAGCAGCTCGAGAGCCCCATTTTTCATAACATTTACTCACAACCCATTGGCCAAAGTCCAGGAGTAGGAATTACACTCTGTGTACTTTCTCTGTGAGGAACTGCTAGATTACATGAAAAAGGATGTGGCTATGGATAAAAGGAGAATGGAAGAATCAAAACTAATAATTTCTTTTATTTAATGGTAAAGCTGAATAATATTTTATTGTATGTATATGCCATGTATAATGTGCACTTTTTGCCCACATTTTTGAGGGAAAAATAAGGATGCACATTATACACGGGTAGTTCTAATTCTCTGTGTAAGTGTATTTAATTTTATTTATGCTTATGCATTAAAAGATAAACTCTAGAAAGTAATAACGATATCTGTATGTTCAAAAATAAATGCTAAAATTCCTTTATAATACCAAAAAAAGTATCTAAATGTAAATAAAGAAAAAATTGATTTAAAAAATTAAAAGAATTTTTCCTGAAAGTTTGGGTCAAAAACATGGGTACACATTACACATGACAGAAAACAGTATTACATTTTACTCATTCATTTACCTGTTGATGGTCACTTGAGTTGCTTTCATTTTTTAACTGTTGTGAATAATGCTCTTATAGACATGGGTATATAAATATCTTTTTGAAACCCTACTTTCAATTCTAAATACATACCCAGAAGTAGAATTGAAAGATCATACGGTAATTTTTTTTTTTTTTTTAGATTTTATTTATTTATATTTAGAGAGGGGAAAGGAGGAGTAAAGAGGAAGAGAAACATCCATGTGTGGTTGCCACCTGAGCGCCCCCTACTGGGAACCAGGTCTGCAACCCAGGCATGTGCCCTGACTGGGAATCGAACTAGAGACCCTTTGGTTCACAGTCGGCTGCTCAATCCACTAAGCTACACCAGCCAGAGCCATTCTTTATTTCTGACTGGTCCTTTTTTTATGGTTTCTATATCTTTTTTCATGCTGTTGAGTAGCCTTATAATCATTACATTGAACTCTGTACCTGATAAATTGTTTGCCTCCATTTCATCTGGTTCTTCTGGAGAATTGTCTTCTATCATTTGGGGGTCTGTTTCTTTGTCTTCCCATTTTGGCTGCTACTTTGTATTTTCTACTTTAGTTGTTAAACTAATCCTGCTAAACTGATCAGTTGTTAAACTAATCAATCTGTAATCAGCCCACAGGCTTAAGCTCTCCTGGATGGGGCAGAGTAATTCCTGCAGGTCTATTGCTTCCTCTCAAGCAGATACCACTTGGAGGGGAGTGCTCTGCCTGAGAAAGATGGCTCCTGCAGTATGGGGATGACTCAGCAGACAGATACTGGTGGCTGTTCCTTCAGTTTTCTCCCCAGAGCCACCAACCCCACACTCCTCATGTGTCTCTAGTTCACTTTGCCCTCCTTTGCTAGAGCCCAGGGTAAGTGGCTGCAAACAGAATTTTGTGCATTGGCCCTTTAAGAGTCTCTCTGTGTCTCCAGCCATCTGTCCCTGATGGATAGAAACCCTTCTGCTTTTCACAGATGGCTGTTCTCTGGGGTCCTTTGTGGCTCTGGTGTAGAGACTGGGGAGCTCAGCTTGGGATTTAGACCCTACACTTCTCAAGGGGACCAACCCCCTGGCCACTGAAATATCCCTTTGGAACTTCAACTGCCACCTGTGGGAGCCCAGCCAGCCCTCTCACACCTTTTCCACACTCCCTACCAGTCTCGTTGTGGTGAAGTGGTTTCTTCTGTCTGCCCGTGGTTATAAGGCTTCTCTCCAGCTAGTGTTCAGTTGGTTATTCAGGATGATTTCTCTACAATTCAGTTGTAATTCCAGAAAGGTCTCGGTAGGAGGTTAGTGTAGCTTCCACTTACTCCTCTGCTATCTTGAATCTCCCCTCTATTTTCAATTTTTTAAGGAATCACCATACTGTTTTCTGCAGCATCTATACCAGCTTACCTTCCCATCAACAGTGCAGTGTTATAATTTCTCCACAGCCTCACCAGCACTGTGTGTGTGTGAGGGTATCTCATAGTTTTGATTTGCATTTCCCTAATGATTAGTGATGTTGAGCATCTTTTCATGTGTTTATTGACTGTTTGCACATCTTGTTTGAAGAATTGTCTGTTAAAGTCCTTTTCCCATTTTTGAATGGGGTGTTTTTTGTTGTTAAGTTTTAGGAGTTCTCTATATATTCTGGATATTAATCACTTAGAATATATGTGATTTGCAAGTATTTTCTCCAATTCTGTGGGTTGCCTTTTTACTCTATTGATAGCATCCTTTCTTGCACAAGATTTTAAAATTTTTATGAAGTCCAATTTGTTTATTTTTATTTTCTGTACCTTTGGGGTCATATTTAAGAAATTACTGCCAAATCCAATGTTGTGAAGCTTTTATCCTATGTTTTTTTGTTTGTTTGTTTTGTTTCTGAAAATTTTTTTCCACTACCATTCACTGTTTTTCCATTACTCCCTCCTCCCTGAAATCACTACACTGTTGTCCACATCTGAGTCCTTTTTCCTTTTTGCTCAATCCCTCCACCCCCTAACCTCCCCACCTCCACTTAGTCTATGTTTTCTTATAAGGGTCATAGAGCTCTAGCTGTAATGTTTAGATCTTTGATTCATTTTGTGTTAATTTTGTACGTGTTGTGAGGTAGGGGTCCAGCTTCATTCCTTTGCATGGATATCCAGTTTTCCCACCACCATCTGTGGAAAGGTGTCCTTTCCCCATTAAAGTGCCTTGGCTCCTTGTTGAAAATCATTTGACCAAATATGTGAGTGTTTATTTCTGGGTTCTGTATTCCATTCCATTGGTCTTTGTTCTTTTCCAAATGTGTTCTGGCTAATCGGGGCCACTTGAGATTTTGTATGAATTTTGGGATGGAGTTCTCCCCTCTGGATTTTGATAGGGATTACATTGAAACTGTAGGTCACTTTCTGTAGTGTTGACATCGTAACAGAATTAAGTCTTCTGATTCATGAACAAGGGCTCGTCTTTCATTTATTTATGTCTTTAAATTCCTGTAGCATTGTTTTGTAGTTTTCATGGTACAGTCTTTCTCCCTCTTGGCTAAGTTAATTCCTAAGTATTTGAATTCTTTTGTGATATAGTAAATAGAATTATTTTCTTAGCTTCCCTTTCAGATTATTTATTGTTAGTGTATAGAAATGTAACAGATTTTTGTTTGTTGACTGTGTATCCCATTACTTTGCTAAATTTGTTTATTGGTTTTATCAGTTTTTTTGTGGAATCTTTAAGTTTTCTACATGTGAGATCATTGGATGGCTGTTTTCTTAACATGATATGTTATACTTAGAAAGTCAGCAGCATACTTAATCAGCAAACAGTACAGGCATTTCCACTAGAAGAGTCCAATAGGACTGTCTAGTTTCTAAAAGTTGAAGAGAGTTCTCCTTTGAAAACATCTACATTGGGTACCAATTGCATTTAAGAATACCCTTAATGAAGCAGTAACAAGTATGCATGCTATTAAACCTCAATTCTTGAATGCCCATCTTTCAGTATTATGTCTAGCAGAATAGGAAGATGTACCAAATATTTTTACACACTAAGTGGTATTCTAAATACAAACACTTGTGCTATCATCTGAGTTCAAGCTGAATTAGCTGCATTTTTCTTTTTATGAATACTCTTTACTTAAAAGAACAACTGTGGGGCCAACTGGTTTCTTCAGATGTGCAGATTTGGCAGGCACCTTTCCACAAGTGAATGGAGTGACTTTGTCACTTCAAGGAAAACAACTGAAAATATTTGTTTTCAATTATAAAACTCTGGCATTTGAGCATAGGACAATTTTGGAATATTTTATGTGCATCTGTGAGCTTGAAAGCTTTCCTGTACGTAAAGATTTTTTTTGATGCGGTTGGTTGATGATGTTAAAGAATGTGGTTTTTAAAATACTGTATAATAGAACATTTGAAAAATCTGCACAGAGTATTAAGCTAACATTTTCCAAATAAACAATGTCTGACACTACTACAGAATTATGCATGGGTGAAACAGCTGCCCAGTGTGCAATACGGGATAATGGGTTTTCACGCAACAACGAAGAAAGTTTCCTGATGTGGTTTCAGATTTTGCATTACAACTGGAAATTTGTTTGCATTTACTTTTTTTTAACATAAAACTTCATTTAAAAAGCTTTTTCTAGTACTTTATTATTTTTAATTAAATTTATTGGGGTGACAGTGGTTAATAAATTATATAGGTTTCAGGTGTACAATTCTTAATACCTACCTGATCTATATATCACATTGTGTGTTTACCACCCAAAGTCAGATCTCCTTCTATCACCATTTGATCTCTGCATTTGCTTGTAATGTTCATTTGCCCATTACTTTATTTTTAGCTTTTCTGATTTTTAGGCTTATTTCTTATATGGAGCATACAGCTGGGTTCTGCTTGTGAGCCAAACCAAAAATTCTTTTCTTCTTTTGATAAGTGAATTAACCCATTCACATTTATTTAAATGACTGAACATTTGTGTTAGTTTCTGTCATTTTATATTATAGTCAATGTGTGTTTTATATATGCATGTTTTCCTTCTCCATGTTTTTTCTTTCTTTAATAAATACTACTTCCTTCAACTAATTTTTATTCTTCTTTTCCACTGTAGTCCAATAACCCTTACTAAGTTTCCATTCAAATCTTTCTTATAACACAGCCTTTATTTTTCATATGATTGTTTTCTTTATATTATTTCTGAGGCCAGTCCACTCTTGTTTCATTACTTCTGATTTTTTGTTCAGTTATGCCCTTAGTTTTTGAATTTCAATTCATTGCTTTTTCAGATTCCCAAACAGGGATATTTAATTCAGTTTGGATTTTTGTGTTACAGTTTTCTTCTGCTGTATGTTTTTCAGGCGGAGGGAAGAGGGTGGCTATGTTGGTTAATTTTCACCAGCTGAGGTGTTTTTGTTTTCTGTTTTCTTCTGTAGGTTTGTATAGATGAAGAGTGCTCATGCATACATTTGGGACTGTTCAAGACTGGTGATTTGGAGTGGTTTACTGGATTTTTCATTTAAAGCACCTTCTCGTATCATTATGGTGACATGCTGCTTCTTTAATGGATGGCACCCTCGGAGGGACAGAATCCAGTGTATAAGTGAAGGGGTTGTCTTCACCCAGCCGTTCAGCCGTTGGAGCGGGAGAGGAGACAGATGGCATGGCTGCTCGCTGCTGGGTAAATGTTGTGGTAGGAAAGTGCAGGAGTCTATTTGATTCATCTAGTTTTCTCAATAAAATAGGAAGCAGCATCAGGCTGAGTGAGGATGGATGAAGAGGTGCGAGACTGAAGAGAGAAAACTTGGGTTTCTCTTGGATAGAACACGGATGTACAGTTAGAAGTTTTCGTGTCATTGAATACGTGTACGGTATTTTTTAATGGTTGCTCACAGTTCTGTTTTATGACTTAAATTGTGGTTCTGTGATTTTTTAAAACCAGTTTTCTGTTGTTAGACATTTAAGTTGTTTCCAGTTTCTTATTACTCAAAATAAAAATGGTACAAAGACTCTTATTATATCCTTCCAAAACTTGGAGTTCTTAACTTTTTTGTTAAGATATAAGAATGGTTATCATTTTCATTGGTTCAGAAATTGTGGTCAGATTATACACTTATATAAAATGTAAGTTTTGGTATTGTGATGACACCTGTGACATGGTACTGAAATACAGAATTGTCCAAACACAAATAATGAGATTCTAAACATGCACTTTTATATAGTGGTATGGTGATTATTAGAAAAATACTGTGAAACAAACTGTCACTATTATATTGTTTTATTGCTGGGAAAAATAGTAACATCACTAAATTGCTGAATAGAGTACACCAAAAAATAAGAGTCCAAGTTACTTGGTTGCAACCTAATCCACTAAAGCAAGAGAAGAAATGAAGAGGCAAATGTGTCAGTAAAATCTCTTAAATTGCGTTCAGTCAAGTTAAAAGAGACACACTCTCGTAAATAATGTCCCGTGCACCTAAAGCAGCCATTAGGCTGTGTCCCTTGATTGTTATAGCAGCTTCCAATGGATGTGCCTCCATTTTCCACCTCATCTTCCCTAGTCCACTTTCCTTTCCTTAGTCAGAGCAGATTTTCCGGTGTGCTGCTTCAGCCATGCCCCTACTGTGTGATAATACCCTGAATCAGGATCTGTTTGTCTGCCTGGTGTTAAGTTTTTCTCTGGTCTCACCTTCTCAGCCTGCTGGGATTTAGTGCCTGCTGCCTTTGGCTCCTCTCTGCCCACCATGGTTTCCTCCTGTGATCTAAATCCCACTGACCCCTGCAGCTCCAAGCAGGTGTGCGTGTAATGGAACCACAGTTGGTTCAAGAACCTGGGGCAGAGGAAATATCAGTAAGAAAGTTGTAAAGAAAACTGTAATGGATATACACGTATGTGACCAGCGTGGTTATCATGGTTGTATTAAATTTGTCTGATTCTCTTTGGAGCCAAAACAAAAAGGATGAAGAGGTAATCTGTTTGCCTCTTACTATCAGAAAGGTACGATGCAAAACCTCTCCTAATAATAATTTCATAAAACAGTTCTTATGTAGGTCTTCATTATGTAAATCACTGAATAGAATGGACAGAGTTCTCACTTCTAAGATTCTGCACGACAGATTTCATGTAAGTTTTTTTGTGGTCAGTTACTAAAAGCCACGTGACAGCAAACTCAAATTCTGTCAGTTTGTAAGATAAGTATGTATAGCTTTTTGGTGTTTTGACTTGATCCAGGTGAACTTACGGAATCCAGACCCAGGGCTGTTAAGTGACGTGTCCCCTCTCTTCAGGGATTTCCTGACTTCCCGCACAGTTGTCTCAGTTCACTGGCTAGTTTCTGATAATCATGACCTTTGGGGCCAGGGAGGGGAGGGTTACAGTTACTGATGTCTTCCAAGATCACTTGTACAGGTCAAAATACTGTGATTTGGTGATCTGGCTTAAATAACAGGGCTTGTATTTCCGGTTAGAAGCACCAACCCCATATTGGGGGTTAGTGAGGTGAGGGTCTCTCAGCGGAAGCACTTGTGGAACAAATGCTAGGATCGTATACATAAAATCCTTCTGAATACTTACCACAGTTCTATCACTGGGGTTATGGTAGCAAAATCAGTTGTTACTGTTGACCAGTAAGGAAACCATGTGTATAAGAAGGTCGTCTCCTCACGTCCCTAGTTGTGTACCAACGTGTATCTGTGCTCCCCTTCTAACAACCCCATTCATGCTGAGATGTCCTTCCCTCTATGGCATTGTCAGTGCTTTGTGGATGGTGAGCCTTGGCCCCAACCCTTAGTGGTGTGTCAGCAAGGGTCTAAAGTTGTGGTTCTCAACTTTGGCTTCACATTGGGGTCACCTAGGCAGCCTTGTAAAAGATACTGCTGTCTGGGGCCCACTCCCAGAAATTCTGACTTGGGGGCGGGGCTGGGGTGTGGACATGAAGTTTTCAGTAGCTTCCGGGTGATTCCAAAGCACTGCCAAAGTTGAAAACCACTGGTCTCAACAAATATTGGAAGTGCCACTCTTTTTGCAGCAGTTGGTTTAGGCTTGAGATAGGAATGCATGTCCTCTAGTACACTTCTGGAAAAGTGATCATCACTTAAGATACACAGGAAGAGGCTAGACATTGCTGTGTCTGAATGTGACGCCCAGAACGGATGCAGCTGCCTAATGACTTCAAGGGGAGCTAGCAGACCAGCTGAAGATGACAGAGAGGAAAGTTAAGAAGAAGCTGGGTCCTTGATACCTGAGCCATGGAATATACCAGCCTTAGGAGACAGCCAACCTTCAGCATGCATGTTACACCACATGAAATTTTATATACATATAAAATATATATATTTTTTACTGTTCAAGCCTTTTTGACTTGGGTCCTCTTGCAGCCAAAGGCAAGATAATAAATGTGAGCCAGGAATCAAACCTACGTTCATCTATCCAAGTCCACGTTTCTGCCCCTCACCCCTCTGCACCAAAGGCTTTGTTCAGTCTTGACTCCTGTTGGCAGCACGCAGTGAGAAGCTGGTGTAAGAAAGGAGGGAACACGACAGCGGCAAGGGGTAGGCCTGTGAGAGGGTTAGGACGAAAGGGGAGAACGTACTTGCTTAGTAGGGAGGGATGAGCCACCCAGCTCACCTCAGGATGCTGTTGGTTGATTCCTGTGAGATTTGCAACGCTACATTATTTAAAAATGTGGAAAAGTAAACTTGGCTGTGTCATTAATTCTGGGGTACACATTGTTACAGCTAACATCACTGTGATTGGATTGTCTTTTACAGTTGATAGAATGTCACATTTTAATTGGCAGTTTACTTGTATTGGCACATAAAAACGGTGGGTCTTATTTAGTGACACATGATTTGAATATAATTTTAAACTGAAGTTTATATGCATATAGTCAAAAGTTTACTGTGAAAGGAAATGTACAAAATTTATTTTGGATTAATAAAATTTAAAAACAAAAAGGTTTGTTATGAAAAAGAATGGTTTGTGTTTCTTCCCCATCCCCTCTCTACTCTGTGGGAGGCAGAGTAGTAAGATGGCTCCCAGGACCCTGCACCCTGGTGTGCTCAAACCCTCCCTCTGAATCGGCATCACTGCGAGTGCTGGGTTTCTTAGGATTGATTTACGATACACATTGAAGATGAAGCAGTTTTACTTTTGCATAATTAAGGTCTCAAGTCACTTGGTTTTGAGTTCATCGAAAGGGAGATGTTCCTGGGTGGGTCTCAACTAATCACATGAACCCTTAAAAGACACTGGGCTCTTCCTAAGGTCAGAAGTGAGACGCAGCAGGGGGGTTTTCCTGCCAGCCTTGAAGAGGTTGCCCTGCTGTGAGAGGGCCATGGGAGCTCCAGTCTTAGAGCCACAGGTTGCTGAGTTCTGCCAATGAACCCTGAATGAACTTGGAAGAGGTGCTCCAGGCTCATTTTGTATGTTCCCACCTCAGTCCTCAAATCAGCCCTTTCTCAAAGGAGCCCCAAATTTTTTTCATTGCTCCTGAGTCTGGTCAGATGATGGCTTGAGAATATAGCTTCTCAGTGAGCTGTTACATAGATCAAAAGCGATGGTTCGGGGGCCTCTTGAGCTCCGGGTCTTTCTACTCGCTGGTGACCCCCGGGTGCTAGTTGTTACAGTTACTGTAGCTGTAGGCTGGGGAGGGGAGAGAGGTCCAGGCAGGTCTTTGCACCAGCCATTTACCAAGGTTCAGCTGTTTGTCCTCAGTAAATTCTCTTTGAATCCATCTCTTTGAACTTAATTTCCAGAATTCTGGAAAAAAAAATGGCTTTAGACTGTTTTTGCCAGAGTTCCCCCATGACATTTGTGAAGTGGATTTTCAGAACTCCTCAGTTGCTTTTCCAGAGGTGGAAGCCTTGCCCACTCTTCAGTGTTGTTTGACATCACAACACCTTCCTTCTGCAGCTTCTGTCTGCACTTGAGTAACAGTTGTTCGTGACTGGTAGGAAGACTGATGCGTGCCATCTTCAAGTCCTTTTCTTCCAGAGTGCCCCTTGCCTGCCTGGCTGTCCAGGGACTCATCCTCCTGGCAAGAGGCCCCTCGTTCCAGAGTATTCAGGATGTTCACTCAGCTCCAAAATTTTAAACTACTTTTTTAAGGGGTTCTACAGAAGTGGCCTTATTTATCATTCATGTAATTATTAAGTAAATATGAGTTTTGTATTCCAACTGTACTAAAAAATACTTCAAATTTATTTGCCTGGATATGTTGCTTGGCAGGTATATCTGTTACATAATAATATAAACTGGACTTTAATCTTGGACTTCCTGAACAAATTTGTGATTCAGCCCCACATCTGCTGACAAACCAGCTCTTTTCAGCTTTCCGTGTGCCCACAGACTGCAAGCCAACTTAAACTTCCTCCTGTAGCTGAACTCAGTTAGGTAAACCCGGAATCAACAGAAGTGCCCCTTATTTCAGCCAAATGCACATAAAACAGCCATTTCAGTCCATGAAGAAGGAAAACCCGGTCCCAGTGAATTCCTGATTGTCCCAGGGGCTGAATGCCTGTCCTTGTGCTGCCGTGAAGGGCGCTGTGTTCTCAGGAGCTGGGGAGGTGATGTGGGCCGAGTTCCTCCTGCCCGGGCCCTGCTGCTCCCGCTCCTGGCTGCCAGCAGTTCTTCAGGTTGTGTGTTCTTTGGGACGCACCCTACAGCTAGATTTTTACCAGGAAAAGGCAAGAGGGAAAAAACGACCTTGACTTTTTCAATGGGATGTACAGGATCTTCCATCTGGGGGCCAAAAGGCAAGGCAAGGAAGGGAAATGTGAGGAATGGGGAGACCTTGGAGAGAGTCGGCCAGGAAGACACTGCTGGTGCCCTGTGAAATCTCAGTGAGAACACGGTGGCTGTGAGGGGGATGTGGTGTGGGGCTGCGTGCAGGACCACGAACGGGCCTCCTGGGCCCACCCACGGCTTGCTTAGCAGGGGCTGTGGTCCAGAACCCTGCAGGCCGATCACAGGACTGGGAAATGGGCGTTCAGGGTAGCAGGGACCTGCATCCGTCTCATGTTGGCCTTTC